GACTATAACTCTTTTTTTTTAAATCATTTTATTGGGGGCTGATACAGCTCTTATCACAATTCATACATCCATCCATTGTGTCGAGCACATTTGAACATTTGTTGCCATCATCATTTTCAAAACATTTTCTTTCTACTTGAGCCCTTGGTATCAGCTCCTTATTTTTTCCCCTCCTTCCCCTTCCCTCCCTCCCTCATGAACCCTTGATAATTTATAAATTATTATTATTTTTTCATGTCTTACACTGACAGATGTCTCCCTTCACCCACTTTTCTGTTGCCTGTCCCCCTGAAAGGTAGATCATTATGACTGGTTCCCCCTTTCCCACCACCTTACCCTTACCCTCTTGGTATCGCTACTCTCACTATTGGGCCTGAGGGGTCTATCTGTCCTGGATTCCCTGTGTTGCAAGCTCTTATCTGTACCCATGTACATGCTCTGGTCTAGCCAGAGTTGTAAGGTAGAATTGGGATCATCATAGGGGTGGGGGGAGGAAACATTAAAGAACCAGAGGAAAGTTGTATGTTTCATCGGTGATATACTCCACCTTGAATGGCTCATGTCTTCCTTTTGACCCTTCTGTAAGGGGATGTCTGGTTGTCTACAGAGGGGCTTTGGGTCTTCACGCGGCACTCCCCCTCATTCACAGTGATATGATTTTTTGTTCTGGGTTTTTGATGCCTGATACCTGATCCCATCACACTGACTGGTGTGCTTCTTCCCTATGGACTATGTTGCTTCTCAGCTAGATGGCCATTTGTTTATCTCCATAACTTTTAGACCCCAGACACTGTATCTTTTTATAGCCAAGTACCATCAGCTTTCTTAACCCCTTTTCTTTATGTACCCATTTTGTCTTCAGCGATCATGTCACGGAATGCTGGGTTATTCAAACAAATTGTTCTTGCATTGAAGGAGTACTTGAGTAGAGGCCCAATATCGATCTGCTACCTTAATACTTAATATATAAATATATGTACATAGATTTATGTCCTTATAATTATATATAATTATTTACATATGCCTGTATTTAGACCTCCATAAGTGCCCTTTGCCTCCTAGTTCTTTCCTCTATTTCCTTTTACTTTCCTCTTGTCCCACTATCATGTTTGGTCTTCTTTCGCATTTCAATAATTCCTCTTGGTTACATTGCCCTTGATCAAGCCCCACCAGACATCCTACACCCTTCTTGCCATCAATTTTAGATCACTTGTTCCCTTGTCCTTGGGTTCGTTAACACCCACTTCCTTTCCCCTGCCTCCCTCTCTCCCATGTCCCCCTGGAACCATCAGTCCCATTTTTTTCTCTTCTGGATTGTTTATCACACCTGTTATCTAGATAGACATGCAGAGACAATAATAAGCAGAAATAGGAAGGACATATCAGCCTGTGTAATTATGAGGTGTTGAATGGATCACTGAAGACAAATGGGTACATAAGCAAATATGGCGAAGAAAGCTGATGATGCCCGGCTATCAAAAAGTATAGCATCTGGGGTCTTAAGGCTTGAAGGTAACCAAGTGGCCATCAAGCTCAGAAGCAACAAAGCCCACATGGAAG